TTTCTGGTACGCTGAACATGGGAACCCGTGCAACTCTTGCATGTTTGATACAAAACCAATGTGCGCGGCGCTACTGCGAGGACCACATTTTGAAAAAGGAACCGCCCCCAATCCGTGAAACTCTTGCAATTCTTGGAATCATGTGCGCGGCGCTAGGGCGAGAGCGACATTTTGAAAACGACCCGCTCTCCATCCGTGCAAATTTTTGTAGTTTTAAACGAATGTGCGCGACGCTTTGGCGAGAGCCACATTTTGAAAACGACCCCCTCAATCCCTGACAGTCTGTGCAATTGTGTAAACGAATGTGCGCGGCGCTAAGGCGAGAGCCGCATAAAAAAAAACGACCCACCTTCAATCAGTGACACTCTTGCAGTTTTTTAGACGAATGTGCGCGGCGCTAATGCGAGAACCACACTTTGAAAACGACCCGCCCTTCGTCCGTGAAACTGTCGCCAATGTTTCAGCTTCAGGGTCATACATGGTGAGGAAGTCTCAGGCGAAACACCCCGCCCGCCCTAAAAATTGGCCTCAGGGTGCGACAGGGAGAACTTATCAATAAGGAAAGGAATTAAGCAGACAAAGAAGGAGGAGATGTCGTTGGTGATGTTGATGGTGGTAGCGATTGCTATGGCAATGAAGACGTTGATGCTGCTAGAGGTGGTGGTGGTGGTGATGACGATGTTCATGATGGTGGTGAGGGAGGAGGAGGAGAAGGAGCAGGAGGAGGAGGGGGATGAATGAAGACAAGCAAAAGGAGGTCGTAGAGGACGAGGAGGAGGAGGAAAGGCTGGAGGATGAGCATGACAATGATGAGCAGCAGGAGGAACGGCAGGAGCAAGCGCCATGGCGGGATGAGCAGGAGAGCGGGGACGGACTGAGGGCCAGGGGAGGGTGGCAGGGGGAGGGCAGGAGGGGGAAAGGGCAGGGGACGAAGGGAGGAGGAGCGATTAAAGAGTGCTGCGGACCAGGGACGGGAGAGAACGGAAGGTGGGAGGAGGGAGGCTAATGAGGAGCTATGAAGAGGACCGGTAGGAGGATGAGGAGGAGGAGGAGGAGGAGGAGGAGCACGAGAAGGAGAAGGATGATGATGAGGATGAGGATGAGGATGAGGATGAGGATGATGATGATGATGATGATGATGATGATGATGATGATGATGATGATGATGCTGATGATGATGATTATGATGATCATGATGATGATGATGATGATGGGACTAGTGTGCCCTGCAGCCCCCCCCTCCAGGCAGGGAGTCACATGTTGCAGCTGGGGCCTACCCTCACCCCTCCTCCCTCTTCCGACTGATACTGATAATGCAAATAATAATAGCAAGGATGATGCTGCTGATGATGATGATGACGATGATGATAATGATGGTGATGATGCTGATTATGATGATGCTGATGATTGTAATGATGCTGATTATGCTGATGATGATGCTGATTCTGATGATACTGATGATGCTGATGATGATGGTGTGGTGGTGGTGTTGATCAGGAGGAGAAGGAAGATAATGAGGAAGAGGAGGAGGAGGAGGAGGAGAATGAGAAGGAAGAGGAGGAGGCGGATGAGGAGGAGGAGGAGGAGGAGGAGGATGAGGGAAACGGAGGGAGGCAACGAGCAGGAGAAGGAGAACAGGGAGCATTCCTTTTCGCCTCCCCCTACCCCTCCCTCTCTCCGCTCCTCCTTCACTCCCCCTCCCTCCCTCTCCTCCGTCTCTTTCCCTCTCGTTTTCAAATTCCTTCACTTATCTTCCCATCTCCCGCTCTCCCCCTCCCCCCCTCCCCCATCCCTTCCCCTCCTGCTCCCGCTCCCACTCCCTCTCCATCCCCCCTCCAACTCCTTCTCCTCCCTCGCCTGACCTCCCTTCCCCTCCCTTGCGCCCTCCCGCCCCATGCCGTCCCGTGCCCGCCCGTCTCCCTTCTCCTCCTTCCTCCCGCCTCTCCCTCCCTCCCGCCTCTCCCCCTCCCCCGCCTCATTGCCGCGCCCCCCCTCCCCCTTCGGTGGCCTGCCTCTCAGGTCCCTGCCGGTCCGGGCCAAGGCCTTCCGAGAGGACTGCGGGGAGGGCGGCCGGCGATGCGGGGGCCGGCGGGGCGGAGAGGGGGGACGAGCGGAGACGCGAGGAGGGGGTGGAGGATGTGCTGTGCCGTGGAAGGGGAAGGCGGCGGTGGAGGGGGGTCGCTGCGTGCGGAGGAGGCGATCTGAGCGACGGGGGGGGGCGGGGCGGGTGGCGAGGGCGAGCGAAGGGGCGAGGAGGCCACGGGCGACGGGGGGCGGGCGGGCGACCGGGGGGCAGTGGACAGCAACCAACTCGCCGTGCGGGTGCCGCCAGCCCCGCGGGGCGCCGCGGGCTGTCCCAGCTGCGCCCCCCCCCCCTCCCAAACTCGCGCAGTGATGGCGCCCGATGCGTTCGCACGAGGCTCAGCGACGTGTCGCGAGAGGAGCAGGAGGGCCTGGAGTCCTAGGGGGTAGTCAGGACCGACGCCAGCACATATCAATGACTTTCTCCCCGCGGGTCCGCACCAGTTCATCCAAAACGATCCCTCGGCGAGCTGGCGTGCAAGTGTAAGTAACTGTCGGAGTGAACAAGGGGGACGCAAGGCAAGTCAACAGACGGGCTGGCTCTTTAATCTAGCGTATCTAGGTTATGCTGAGCCTCATCTGCATTAGCTCAAGGCGAGTCGGGCTTAGTTCAACTTCGCGTAACTTAGCATATCGTTGCCGATGCGGACTTAGCCAAGTCGAAGCTCGGCGCGGCTCCGCTCAGCTTGGTGATTTGTCTTCACGTGGCTTCGATTTGAGTATATTAGTTCAACCTGGCGTAGTTCAGCATTTCTTTGCTCAGCCTTAGCCCACCCCAACGTCGCCTGACTAGCTGATCAGAGCTCGGTTGAGCTTATCTGAGTTTAGCGTAACATATGCCAGCATTGTTGAGTTTAGCCCGGATTAGCTTTAGCTCCACATTTGAGCCCAAGACATTCCTTCTTTTGGACCCGCTTAGAGCCTCTTGGATGCGTGTTGGAGCCCTTGTGGGGGCCTCGGGGGATCCCCTAGGGTGGCCTCTATTCTTCACGTGTGGCGCATCCCCACCAGCCCATCCAGATTCCGAGGGAAGTGGCAGTGCGATGGGAAGTGATCCACCGGTTCTGAAACAGAGCGGGGGCACCAGTCAAGTCAGAGGGCGGATCAGCCCAAGCGGCTCCCCCGACACTTTGGGCCCTCCGGGAGCCTCCTTCAGGACTGTTGGACCCATCTTTGGGCTTTGTTGTTACTCTGGTTGAGAGCCTATGAGGGCTTCTGAAGTCCCATTGGGAGCCGCTGTGATGCTTGTTGGACGCTATCCAGCTGCCTGCGACAAGGCCCGCCACAGTGCCAGCTCAGCATTCTGGCTGGCGACTGTGCGATGGGGTCACAGGAGGTCGTCACGTGTGTCACCTCGTCCCCCCAGGCTTGGGGGAGCCGTGATGATGATAGTGAGGATTATGATGATGATGATGCTGATGATGATGAAGATGACGATGATGACGATGATGATGCTGCTGATGATGATGATGCTGATTCTGATGCTGATGCTGATGATGATGACGAATGTGATGGTAATGCTAATGATGATGATAATGATGATGAAAATGCTGCTGCTGATGATGAAGTTGATTCTGATGATGATGACGATGACGGTGATGCTGCTGCTGCTGATGACGATGATGCTGCTGCTGCTGATGATGTTGCTGCTGCTAATGATGATGCTGATGATGTTAATGATGATGACGATGCTGATGATGACAATTACGATGATGATAATGCTAATGATGATGATGATGATGATGACGATGATGATGATGATGGTGATGGTGATGATGATGATGATGATGATGATGATGATGATGATGATGATGGCGACGATGATGATGACGATGATGCCGCTGCTGATGATGATGATGATGATGATGATAATAATACTGATGTTGATAATGCTATCGCCCCCGTGACTCATCCCTCAACCCCCCACCCCCCCGGCCGGATTTCTTTTCTTCTTTCCGCGGGGGGTCAACCTTCGCGGCGACCCGTTAAACCCGGGACCCCTGGCGGCGCATGGATTTTTTTCCTTCTTCCCCGCGCGCGTTGCCGTTGGAACCCCTGAACCCCTCCGACTACCGTACAACTCGTACTTGAGTACAACTGGTACTATCATGTCCTATCGCGCAGTTGTTCCTAGAGAGCACGTTGTCCTGCCGTGCAAATATTCGAGTGCAGCTGGTATCATATTACAGCTGGTAAAATTGTGCCCCCTAGAACAACGCCATATATACTGCGTTTCCAATATACAACGCCTAGAAAATTGAGTTTCCAATATATTGCGTTTCCAATATACTGGGTTCCCAATATATAAGCCCGAACCCGAACCCAAACCTCACCGGCTGTAATTCAGTTGTTCCCGTACTAATACAAATCCCTAGTGCAACCGCGATTAAGGTGTTGTTGCATTGCACTTACAGTCTCGGCTCTCACGCTTTTCTTCCTCTGGTTGCGCTTGGGGGGGTGGGACCCCTCGCGCGGGCACCCCCGCGGCTGGGAGTTCATTCCTCTTCCGGAATTTGAGGGGGGGGTAACCCCCGTGCTCGAACCCCATCGCCAGGGTTTTTTTCTTTCCTCCGCGGAAACCGGACCCCCTGGGTTCTTCGGCGCGCCCCATTTTTTTTTTCTTTCCGGTTGGGCCTCCATGGGTCTTAGGTTGGAGTCACCCGGGTGATATAATGCTGCTGCTGATGATGATGATGATGATGACGATGTTCATGATGATGATGATTATGCTGCTGCTGATAATTATGATAGTGATGATGATGATGATGATGATGATGATGATGATGATGATGATAATGATGATGATGATGATGATGATGATGATGATGATGATGATGATGATGATGATGATGATGATGATGATGATGATGATGATGATGATGATGATGACTATGATTAGATGCTGCCGATGATACTGATGATGCTGTTGCTGCTGCTGCTGCTGAGGAGGAGGAGGAGGAGGAGGAGAAGGAAAGGGAGGATGTTGAGGAGCAGGAGGAGGAAGAGGAAGAAAAAGGCCATTTGTATCATCTTTCGTCCTCACTAGTCGTGGTCATTTTGGGGCCCTCTTGGGCCCTTCTTGGGGCCGTCTTGGGGCCCTCTTGGGCAGTCTTGGGCGACTCTTGGGCCGTCTTGGAGCCCTCTTGAGCTGTCTTGGGGCCCTCTTGGGAGCCACTTCGGTCGTCTTGGAATTCTCTGGGGGCCTCTTGGGCTTGGGCCGTCTTGGGACGTCGGAAGCTCGAAAAGGCGAGAACCTCCCAAACAGGGGGAAAAATATACAAACACATTGTTTTTTCGCCTCTCCAGGCTCTCTTGGGAAGGCTCTTGGGGCTTTCTTGGGACGTCTCGAAGGCCTCTTGGGCCGTCTTGAGGCCATCTTGGGCTGTCTTGAGGTCGCAGAGGGCCGTCTTGGAGCCATTTTGGGCCGTCTTGGAGGCATCTTGGCGTCGGAAGCGCGAATTTGTTGTGTTCTGAAACGGATTGTGGCCTCGGGAGGGCGAATCTGTAAGATTTTGCCGATGATTCTGGGCTCGGGAGGCGGGCCGGTGCATGCAGCGAAGTGCGACTAGAGGGGGGTGGTCCTTTCGAAGACTACAAACGGACAGCACTTGGCATTCTAGCACGCCTCAGCGTGCCAGGGGGCACGGTGGCGGCTTGGGGCCCTCGTCGGGCCAAGCTGGAAAGCATCGACAAGCAGAGGGGGTGCCATGAACGATGGCTCCACCTGCAGAATTCGAAGCAGGAGTGGCCTTTTGCAGCCCTTGTTGGGTGCTCTTGGGACCTCTGGGGGTGTCTCTGGGCCTTTCTGCGCCCCTCTCAGGGCCGCCTTGGGCCATCGCTGTGGACCACCTTGAGGCCTCAAAGGCCCAGCGGAGGCGGCCAATGTTTCTTGCCTTTCGGAGGCATTGCCACCTCAGAGCTATCTTCGGGCCTTCAGGCGGCCTCTTGGAGCCACGCTGGAGGACAGCTGGGCCACCGCGGACCACCTCGAACCATCCCAGACAGTTGTGAGGGGTTGCTTTGGAAGACGAGGCGCGCTAAACCCCAGAGGGCCAGTGGAGTGCAGCTGCTGCTGCTCCTTCACTTTGCTCTTCCTCCTCATTCCCTTCTCTTTCTCCTTTACCTCGTTCCTTTCCCTTCCCTTTCCTTTCACCTTGCTCTCAGTCCCTTTACACTTGCACATTCTGAATCATGCTCTCCTCTCTCCCGTGAATATGTGCGGAAGATGTTCGGCCCTCTTCGCGCATTGCTTTTAAGCAACATTTCTCCACTAGCATTTTGCTTTCAGGTGTGTTTTTGCAATTATTCTGTTTTCGGTGTTTCGCAATGGTGCTCCCGCTGCAGCGTGGGCCGAACTCTCGGATCGGCGCTGTGCACCCGTCGTTCAAAACCGCGCTCTCGCCCCAGCGCGGACCACTTTTCTGGATCCGAGTCCTCTTTCGTCGTTGTCGCCCCCCCCCATTTCCCGTCCTCCGCCTTCCCCTGACACTTCCTCCTCTTCCCCCTCCCTCCTCTCCAGCTCCTGCTGCTGCCGTTCGTCCTCGTCCTCCTTCGTCCTCATCCCCCTTTTCCTCCTGCTCTTCCTCCCTCTCACCCGCCACCTCCCCCTCCTCCCATGTGCGCAGCTCCCCTCTTGTCCGATTACGCATATCACTATATGGTCTCTTCTGGAGTTCCAGGTCGGCTACGGCACGCGTCCGCGGATAGAGAAATCATCAGCGCAATGGGAAGGGCTGGGAGAGAGGGGCAGTATGTCAAATGTGACGCGAGTGCATCTAGCTTGCCTTCTCTCCGCCCCTCTCCCTTCACGTTCTCCGCGTCTGTGCCCTCCCTCACCCAGGCCTCGTTTGTCCCCTCTCCAAGATGCCCTCGCGCGGGGGTCCCAGCGGCCACCCCCTTTTAAGCTGGCGGGCAGAGAGCCCTGGAGCAGCCCGAGTGGAGAGGCGTAGGAGGAGGAGGAGGAGGAGGAAA